ATGCTGGGAGCCCCAAGACCTCCGAACGGGGTTGCTCCTAGCTGCAGTGTCGAACATTCGCACACTTAACAAACAGCAGTCTTAATAACAATAATAATCATAATGCAAAGGTGACGTGAAGACTGACCGAGGCCAGAGGGTTGGGTGTTGGAAGAAGACCTCCTCCTGGCATCATTCCTGCTACAGCGTTGGCCGGAGCCAGAAGCGACATCGCTTTAGATTCATCAGGAATGACTCCTGAAGAAAAAAATGAAAGGATCTCAGTTCCATGTTCGGGGAGGGGAAAAAAAACGTCAGCAACACTAAGACAAGACTTTCAGACAAGCCACCTCGGTTTAACTACAGTGAAGTTAAAAACATGAAAAATAAAAATCCGCTTTTTGTCTTGTCTGTAAATCTTGATACCTGACTTTTTTTTTTGTTGTTGTTTTTTGTGAAAGTGTAATTGTGGGATTAGTAGCTATGAGATTAAAAAAAATAATAATCACAATACACACTGTGATCAACACTGCCAAGATTTTATCACCTGTACTTGTTTTTTAAGTCATGAACCAAACGTTAGCAAGCACAGCCAGTTGTCCCGCGGGATGTGCTCTCAAATTTCATTATGAACAAGCGACTCGCGCCGGCTGCTTCGCTATAAAGCACACAAAAACATTGAGATACAAAACAAAAAAAAAAACAAAAAAAAAAAACAAAGTTCATGATTTAGATGTGGAGACAAAGATACATTTCAACATCACTTACCATAACTTCTATTAAAAATACTCAGTTGTACCTTTACCCGCCTCTTCCTTACATTAGCATTAAAAGAAAAACAAACGTGGCAACCACATTTCTGTAATGCTACATTTAAGTATGTTGCGCAAAATGCTACACAAACATAATATGTGCTAAACAGTCAAGGTTTAAAGCCAGCAATAATGAGAAAATGACATGAAAGATTAAGTCCAAAGCTGAAGAGAACCAAACAGTAAAATCAAAGAAAAAAATCTTATCAGATGATCATCCATGGCTGTGTAATCTGGAAACAGGCTAATTTTAATCATAAAATATTTCCTTTTTAAAAAAAAAAAAAAAGAGAGAGAGAGAGAGGGAGAGAAAAAGGGAGGGAGGCAGAGAGAGACATCTGATTTCACACACACTCATTCACACAGACAGACTCTTGAGAAACGGGGTAAGGCTGCGGAGGACAAAACTGTTGGTGGCATTTTCAGCAGGGCCTGGAATATAGGGTTGGCTGAACCAGGAAAAACAACTGTAAAACACAACAACAAAAGAAACACCACTGTTAAACGTTAGAGTGACTCAACTCCATCAGAGCTGTATGTATGGAGAGGGACAGTTTCCAAAAGGCATTTTAACAGCTACATCAAGCAAAGCTTTAGGACTAAGAACGCCATTTTATTACCAAATGCAGCACATATGTGTATAATAAATATGAATACCATAGTTACTTTAGCCGCCAGCATGCACACCTGACTGGCCCACTTATCATTTGATCTTGATGTCCCATATATCTTTTCTCTAAATGTGACTGATTTAAAACCTCGAAGCAACAGATCTAGAACCAGTGTTTATCATTTTCTATAAATGTTGTTTTGCAGAGTAATTTAGGCTAAAGTAAAATAAATTGTGAAAGTTCATCCAACAACAATTTGTATATCTATCTAATTTCCTGAGACCAATTAGGTCCTTTTTGAGTTGTTGGACCCAATTAAATGTTTTGTTTTTTTGTGTGTGTGTGCTTTTAGCCTTTTAAGTCATAGCCGTATTTCCTTCACCTTAAGTGTCTAACCTGAAAGTTTATGTTAAAATTGTAAAAATTAAATCTCGAAATATGTCAAATTTAATAAATCTTATTTTTTTTCTAATGTGAATACTTTGAAAATATCCGCATAAAACATAGATAAATCTACCTGTCAGTTAAATAATTTTGTTTGAGCTGCATCATATTTGATCTCTAGATTTATCAGTATGACGTCGTCCACAGTGTTAATGATCATCGTCTATTGTGACTCAAGGATGCTGCATTTTCTTGACGGTGACGGATATTTTATTCTACCTGGTTTATCCCTCACTTCTGCATGCCTACTTATCAACATAGCTCGTTATCTGCAAAACAAGGACATTCACTTGAGGAATAACTCTGCACAGCTATCTTTTAAGAAAGGATGCCTTGAACAGAAAGAAAAAAAAAAGTCAAGTTAATATTTTACTGCAGGGCAAGAAACCGGAGGGGCTTGTGAATCTGGTGCCATTATTTTTTTTTCTAACCGCCTGACGGCAGCAGAGGACCACTTTCAGTCTGCATGGATGGGGCTCTCTGCAAATGACTTGTCCACTATGAAAACCACAACACAAATAACAGAGAGAGAAGTTTACAGCTGGTTGTAAGACAGAGACACAAATGTACATTTCCCTTAAAAAAAACTTTGAAAAATATATTTTAAAAAAGCTAGATAATGGTTCAGGTTCAGCTAATTCTACCCAGTATACCTTTAACCTGTGATATACAGTCAGAGACAGAAATGTGAACGGCAAAGGGACAGACTGGACACCCACCTTCAGCAAAAGGAACCACGATCAAGGCCCTGTCCACGAAGACGGTGTTCGTCAGATGCTGGGACACTCCGACAGACTCAGGCTCATTGAATTTTACAAAACAGACACGGGAAGTCACAGGCAAGGGAGAGTCACTGGAAGAAAATACAGACGTGTTGTGCAAAGAATACCAAAATCAGAGAATCAACAAGCCCTTTTCCACCTTGCTGCCAGGAAAATTGGATCATAACGGATTTCTGCAACAGCGTCCAAAGTAATCCAGTTTTACTATTTCCATTACATTTATCCAACTGTGACTTTTAGAAAAGAATATCCGTTTAATCACTAATGCATTTTATTTGTTCACCTCTCCTAAGGGAATCTATACACTTTTGTATGTAGAGCTGCTGCAAGTTGCTGTCATAGCTAAGAACATTAACTACTGTAATGCATAAATGTCTAGATTTTTAGTCAACACAAATTTATTTTTTCTTCATTGTTTATTTTTAAAAAGCAAAAGTATAGAGCGTTTTCCTTCCAACCACTTTATGTCTTTACTGCCATTTGCAACAACATTCGTCTATACGTTTGTATGTTTGTATACGTTTGTAATGTTTTTGCAACATTTTCAAAACGCAAAAGTTATTTTTAATCAACTTCAGTGTGGTCCACACAAGAAACCCATTATGAGCCCAGCCAGACGAAATAATCATAGTGAAATCTATATGAGGTATAGGTTAGTCTAATGTAAAGAAAAGAAAAATTGCAGATTACAATCTTATTACTTTATACCCAAAGACAAAATACAACACCTAATCTTCTGCAGGCACCAGATGCATTTACACTGGACCCAATAAGAAAAACAACAAGATGCAGCACATATTTTAAGTTGTTTATTATTTCCTTCTTACTTATTACAACTCTACCAATTTTATTCTGAAACTTTTCATAACAGGAAAAGCACCAGTTGCTTTACTTTTACAAATCAATAAAACCCCTGAAAACCTCTCGGAAGGTTTTATTTAATTATTACAAATAGTTGGGTAAAAAACCACTACATTCTATAATAATTTATTACTACAGCAGTAAAAGCAAAGACAGTTATTTGTTTAGTTGGCCTCATAATTACGGTCTGAAGAGAATCTGAAATTCAAACAATGTTCTTGGGGAAAAAAACAACAACAACAAAACCACTGAGGATTTCCATGGATGAACTGACGGGGAGGCGGTAAAATATTAGCATTAGCATACAGCTAGGCCTCTGGTGATGCCAAAGGCCTCAGCTGCCAGAGACAAGCTAACGCAGACTAAGCAGGGCTTTATTTCTGAATACTCACTCAGGTGGAAACAGCTTGAGCTCCTCTATGGTTCCGAGAAACCCAAACAGAGTCCTCATTTGCTCAGACGTTGTGCTCGGGGAGACGTTTGTCACCTGGATGACGTGAGTGCTGGAGCTCATTTTCACACGCGCTAATTAAGCTAGCCAGCCCTATGCTAGTGCACTAAAGTTAAAATTAAGCAAATACTAAAGCTTTAGAGTTTAAAAAGCAGCAGGCCTCTATGAAACCGGAGCATGTCTTCTGTAGGTATAAAAATGTGGATGCTTTCAGCGGACAGAGCAACTGTGCTGCTGACCAGACTTGCGATGCCCTGGTGCTGCTTTCAGGGAGAGTTAGTCACGATCCCAGTATGCATAAACGTAATACATATGAAACTAGATGGATGGATGGATGGATGGATTTTGGAAAGAAACTTGACATAAAACCTGTAGTGCATGTTTACACTACTTGCATTACTTCTTCTTCTTCTTCTTCTGGTGTTGAGGGTGAGAAATATTCATTGAAAGTATCTTTTAACCTAGATCAGGGGTCCCCAAACTACGGCCCGCGGGCCGGATCCGGCCCGCCACGTCATTTGGTCCGGCCCCCTGAACAATGCCGGATCCGGCCCGCCTGCTCATACCAGAGAGCATTCAGTGTTTTTTTTCATATATTGTATTTTCCGGTTTATATGTGGATTTTTCTTCAACCACCACGGGGCTTTTGAGCAAATGTGAAACTTACTTTCCCTCAATGGAATATATACTCGTCAGTCACCGTTTCACTCACGGTTTTTTCCATTTGCATTCTGGGTAAAAATCTATCCAAAAGTGTCGTCGTCTCCTCCCCCCCGTCGACAAGAATTTCTTTGTTTTTTTTTACTGCAAAAACTAAGACCACAGAAAGGAACAGCTATGTGGCCCTCGCAGGAAAAAGTTTGGGGACCCCTGACCTAGATAAAAAGTATTTTCCTCATAATTAGTGTGCTTAAAACTATCGAAGACTGAAGGGGTTAGTGCAGTCTTGCCTACCGGTTTACACGATTTTAGAGGAGTCGGTCTCATAATTCGGATCGTACCTGAAGGAAGCACAACTGAAGTGGGCGTGGCTAAATCTGTGTCACAGGATCTGGTAAGGTTGTTAGCAGGCGGCTTCTGCTGCAGACATTTAGACATGTGCTTAGCTTAAAATACCAAAAACGAGCGACCTATGAAAATATCGTGATGTGTTGAGAGCGACAGAGGTATGAAAGGATTTAAATTAGTTTCAACAAGTGAAACTTTCTACCAAAATATCCAAAATAAACCTTAGCGACATACACCTTGGAGCAAGTCCTCTCGCTTGCTAACGTAGCAGCACCCTTATTACTTGTCAACAAGTTACTCTTGTGTACATTAATGTATTACATTTGATTGCATATCAGTTAGTAATAGAGACATTTCTGTCCAGTGATGGAAATAATAACCGTGCTATGCTATAACAAACTGTTGAAGTGAAGACAACGGCATTAAACAGCCATGTACTTTCTGTAACTGCATGTACGAATTTAATTTATCCTTTTTGCATGATAAGTTTGAATGGTGATAGTTGTGTTTGTCACAGTGAAACTTTGGTGCTGCTGCCTTGGGTGAAGTGTATTTTTTTTTTGCTTCTGAGTTTTATATTTTGTTTGCTTTATGAAAACGAAACTGTCAATGGTAGAAATAACAGAATGCTGAGAAATGCAACAAAAAAAGTAAAGAGGACATCCGTGTAACCTCCTATTAGATAATATCCAAGGTGTTTATGCAAATGATAATTAAATATTGAAAAAATAAACATGCAAAATCAAAGCATCATCCCTTACAGAAATGCATTTGGTGCAATTTTATTGTTGTGGTATATATTTATTTCGTTATTTTGTTAAAGATATTTTTGAGGACATATTGTATCCTGGTGGTCTGATGGAATGTTAAGTGTATTTCTTTTATCTACCTGGTGAATTTCATAAAAAATTGAAGATTTTTTTTTTTTGAAAAAGGTAGAAAACATCCAACGCTTCTAATGATATACTTTACAATCTATAAGCTTATATACTTTTATCTAAAACTAGATTTTTTTTTTTTTTTTTTCCAGGACGCACTTGGAAATTTGTGATGACCATCAGGCGCAAAATGGCGACTCCCTTCTCACCTGAACCTCACTTCACATGACTAACATGTGAATATGGGCTTCCTAGTGCTGGTAGTAAGAATCATGGGAAGGATCAGCACATTCAGATCCTATCAGTTTCTACTTCTACTGGCTGCAACGTTTGCCGTTATTGCTTTTTACTACTTTGGCTCTGAGAGGCACAGCTTCTCCAGCACCACAAAGAGGATAAGACAGACCCAGGCCAACACCAACAGAAATGATGCTGACCTAACTGTGGACACCAGGATTTCACACCTTCCTGCATCAGACCAGCAAAGAGGGGAAGAGCTAAATGTAGGAGAGGAAAGTGACATTTCTAGGTCCAGAAAAGGGAGCTCCGAAGCTGGCGGCCAGCGCTACCATGCTCTGATGATGTTCACTAAGGTGGACAGGAGCGTAAGCCTGCAAGACAAATTCAGGGTGGCCATGTTGTCCATGGTGAAGCTTGCGCATTTCCTGGAAGGAGAAGTGTTGGTGCTTCATTTTGTCAGTGATCAGGTGAGCCAAGAGCTGGGCCAGAGGATGCTGCAGGAGTTTCTGCAGGATGCACCATTTAAATATGAGGTGAGTGTAACCTGTAGTCACCTTTGAGGAAAATGGGAAGTTTTATTTTATAATAAATGTTCTAATTTCAGACAAAATTCCTTTTGATGTAAAATCAAGTTACCTGAATTAGGCGCTCTTTGTTCAAATGCTAAGCTTTGAAGCTTTCAAAAATACTCATACATGTTTTTTGGGGGGATTGCAGCAGTGAACTACACAAAGGGCCAAACTGAAATGAAACAAATTGGTATCTGATTTTTTTTAAAACCTTTAAAACAAAACAAACAAACAACAAAACAACAATCAGATCTGGTGTGCATTTCTGTTTAGTCCCTCTGTTTCCAGATTGTAGAATGATTATTTTCTGTAACTACAGCTGTAGATCTTTGGAGATATGACTCTGTTAGCTTTTCCACCTACACTCAACTATTTCTACCCAATGTTCTGTTGATAAATGTTCAAGATTGATTGGTAATTATCCATTTTCAATTCCCAAGTCATATCGTCTCAATTACATTTAGGTCATATTGATTATGCTTTAATTTTAGTTGTATGTTTAAAGCTGTTGTCCTGCTGGAAGCTGACTCTCTTTCCCCTGCCTCAAGTCTGTTGCTGCAGCTAACATGATTTTGTCCAGGCAAAAAAAAAAAGTATGATGGTCCTTCCACTTCACAGTTTCAACAAGTTTGTATTTTTCTACCACATAAAATCACTGAATTCACTTGGTCAGATGACTTGAGAAGGTCGTAGCGATATTATCACTGAATAGATTGAGTCGGCTACTTATCATACAAGGCCCCGAAAATGGTACAGTTTAGATAACGCTGGAAAATATGACCTGATATGACGCTCAAATCCCCAAGACTCCTTCAGCTGGAGGTGCAGCTTAAATTTGGGACACTTGGGGGCACTGTTTGCCAGCTTAAATAGCCCACCACCAGTGAATGGGATGTAGATTGTTTGTACTGTTCTTGCCAAAGAGGAGGATTATGTTTCTAGCTTGTTTTGTAAAATGTCCTGACCAGTTTGTCCTTCTGTGTCTGCTTTTCACAGCTCGCCATCTTAAACCGATTAAGTTTCTCCCATAAGAGCTTGTGTCTGTTGTTTTTTTTTATTACAAGAAACATCTCGTCAGGTTAAACGTGCATTTCCAGGCATTACCTGAAGATGACTCAGTCACTTCCTGGGATGGTTCAGGTTCCGGGAACCTGAACATCTTGGCAGTTTAAGGCCGGAGTGATATTTTGTCTTCTTGACTGTTTTGTAGCATGTGCAAAGATGGAATGTAAAATGCTTTTCCCACTGTAGGTGGAAGCTCTTCAATGCTACTTTTTACAGTCCTACCTCTGCTGAGGTTCCTATCAAACTGTCCTGATGATAAACTGAAATGGAAACTACAGAGCAGCAGTCCACAGCTGTGGGTGTATCTGCAGCAACAGCTGTTGCCCTCACACCTACACATGCTCTGGCTATCTAGAGGATATTAAACAGAGCTCCAACCAAGTCTGGAAAAGTTTGGAATTTGATTCAAGTTTTTTTTCCAAGTGTGGATAAGTGCAGGAAAAATATTTTTCCAGACTTTTTAGTTTCTGTCCTATTTGCTAAAAGTGTGATGACATGATGCATACAGTATCTGTTGTCCAGGTACTGGTCCTGTTTGTCCAACCATTCATCCATCAGTCGAAAATTGAAGTATGTAAAATTTTGAATGCATGAGTTGTAAAACATAAGGAAACATCATAAATTGTAGGATATCATGTCCGTACAATTTTTAAACTAACACCCTCTATATTTTTTGTGGGATCTATTCCAGATCAGCAGGTAACTAAAAGGTTAGTTGTGCTAATCAAAAAGCACTAATCCTTAACTTTTGTTCCACTAATGCTAAAGTCCTACACCAACAGTATTAAGTGGAAGTTAATTCTAAGCTTTAACTTCATATCATATCATATTATAGTTATACTTTGAAAAATTGTAAACGTCAAACACAAATTTAATTTTGACACATTTTCAACAACACCCTTAGTTATTCTGTTTATTGTTCGTTATTGTCTGTTTTTTTTTGTGTTTTTTTTTTTTAGTTCATGTATGTGTCTTGTTTGAAATAAGGTTAATGGTGGAAAAAAAGAGAGAATGTGAGGAGGGAATATGGAACTGCCTTGTAAACACTCACTTCAAAATAAAAGCAGGAATGTAAAAAATCTTTGAGTCCTCAAAGATTGATAACCAGGATTTATTTTTTCTTTCTTTTTTTTCTCCCTGGTTCAACGCACTTGGATCACATGATGGCGTGTTAGCAGGCCTCTGCAGAACTCTGACATGCTGAGGACGTGGTGACAACCACCAGAAAGAACTAAAACACTCAGGACACCAACCTCTAGAGTCTGACTTTGGACATGAATTTTAGTGAAGCTAACTGTGCTAAACATTTTCAAAGTTAGCAAAATGCTAAAACACTCAGCAGAAAATTAGCTCCAGAAGTGGGCCTAAGGCTGAGTAGATAATACTCTTTGTTCTTTGGGTTTTGATGCTTGCACAAGCTTTTCTTATTCTTATGGAGGAGCTAAAAGCTGTTTATGACAGAGTCAGTCTTTTATAATTTAAAAGACTCATTTATAGCTGTTTGTTTTCCACCCAAACACACACAGTCAGACAGACACACACATGGATGACGCCTGGACTCGACCTCCAGGCTGCCTCTGCCGGTGTTCTGGTATCATCCCAGACTTTTTAAACATGGTTCTTTTAAGGTCTTGAAACATCACTTCAACTATTTTGACATAAAGCACTGACACAGCCTTTTCACTCAGCTCTGCTAGGGTTAAAAATGAGACAAGGAGTCCCCAGAGAGTGGTTATCCGAGCATCCCTGTCGGCTCATCTTGAGTTTAACTCCTTTTTATTATTTAGCATTCAGAAGTACAAAGATAGCACACTGGCTAGATAATATATCTTCAGCCCCATTACTTCCCAACAGCCAAATATTCAGGGAGCTACTTGACATTTGCAGCAAACAGCCTGCAGAGTCACACAGGCCTGCAACTGTGCTCATTACTGCTGCATGTCCTTCATAGAACATCCTGGAGCTTTTTGCAACCTGTTATTTATTGCTAATGATGGAGCAGTAATGAAGCAGAGTCGATGCCTAGTTTAAAAATTTATGTCTGTATGAAAATTTGCTGATTTGAAAGAGAAGACGACAAGATTCAGGCTGCAAGAAGTACAAAAAACAGCTGAACGGGTCATTTGATTAACCAAATTCAGAACAACAAGCAAATGTTTGTGAAATATGGAAAAGAAATGATGGATTCCCATTTTACACGAAATCTTGTGGAGTGAAAACCCTGCTGACCGCAACTCTGCTGTTCAGAAAATTTGTTTGGCAATCACATTTTAAAGAAATGCGGTGCTGCTCAGACCAGAACTTACCCAAGCATCCCTTCAAAAAGCACCACAAAGAATAAAGGTGACAACTGAGAAGAGAAAACTTTTCTTAAATCGGTTCTGACCTTTTATAAAGGCTGCAAGGGTTTGATTTAGTTTTTGTTGAATATTTGGTGTCACAGAGTCACAGTTGGTGTTTATTGCAATATGGATCCATTTACATGCCTTAAATGTATTATTGGGACTACATATCATAAGACATTGAAGTTAATAGATGAATGAGGGTTCTTATGGAAAACATTTACCCAAAGTCTGCTTTGGTTAAAATTCTTCTGCATATTTAGCAAATGTAAAGAATACTTAAGGAAATGTATTTAAGGTAAAGCCTAATTGTTGGTACCATCCAGTAACACAAATATTTATGTCTTGCACACATAGTGGTGTTTCTGTTTTCTCCTTAAATAGTTCATACTTTTGAAATACACAATTAAAAAGACTCTCCAGCCAGTCATGACAAAACATAATGAAATAATAAAATGGAATCATGTCATTAACTTATTTGTTTTAGTACAACTGTCCCATTTCTCAGTGGATCATTTAACCTACTTCCTGAATTAATTTCAAAGGGATGGGGAAAGGAAAAAATGCCGTTTGTCTACTCGTGTATCTTATCTTCCTACAGTAAATCGTTATTGATATTTTCATATTTCTGCCCCAGATCATCTTCCATGATGTGGTGGAACTCACACAGAAGCTCTTCCCCATCGTTGAGGCCATGCAGAAGCATTTCAGTGCAGGATCTGGAGCGTACTACAGCGAATCCATCTTCTTCCTGTCTGTAGCCATGCATCACATCATGCCTGAGAGTAAGAAGAACAATATCATCATCACTTTTGTATCAGTGAAATTTAGAACGGAACAATTCCATCCCGCTACGTAGTGCAGTAATTCTCTCCCAGAGTGCTTTGCATTGAGTCACATGCTTATTTATCTAACTTAGGCGGTGCACAGCTGGATAAAGCAGCATGGGCAGGTATCTAAGAGACACGTGGCGAGCTGCAGAGGCCCTGGAGAGTGAGGAAGGAAGGATGTGCTTTGTCGCTGCTGCCCACTTTAGAGCCCCCTGGGCTGGCACCGGCAGTGATCTGTCCTCTGTTGTGCACTGTTTTGGCTCACTTCAGTAGGCGTGCAGCATGGGGCATCACTGCAAAGATGAACCAGACTATTAGGCTTTGAGGTTTTAGTCGATAGCATTCAGAGGCACACATGTGAAAGCTGTCGGGTAGAAAAACACCATCCCAACTCAGGGGGCACAGCAAACGCAAACCAAACGACAATATTTATACCTTCAAGTAGAAGCCTGCAAGAAATGCAAAAAAAACAAACAAACAAACAAACAAAATAGCTGAACAGGTAATTTTAAGATTGCTGCTAAAGATAACTGCAATCTTTAACATTAGTTAAAGATTGGATAAGGTTAAGACTGCAGCAATCTGGAGTCTTAACCTTACTCCAGGTTACTCTCAATGAGAAACATTGAGAGTAAGTGTAAATACACAAAATTCAGAGGAAAATTTTTTATTTATTATTTTGAAAGTCAATTTAAAAGAGTGTAAATATGCTTATCTTGTTTCACTAAAGAGTATCTGACTAATCTGGCATTATAAGGTGTTCATTATTTTCATTAGAGAGACATTCTTGCGGAAGAAGTGCAATTATCAAAAAACAAAAATATGTGAAAGTTTCTCGATAAAAAATATCTAATACTTAATCTTTTTTTTTTTCCGTTCAAGGGCGTTGAAGCTTTGTTAAATTAGACTTCAAATTACTTTTCCTCCCACCCCCAAAAAACAATAAAGCTTCTTCTGTCAGTGTTTAAATCACTGACAGTCTCCTGGCTCTGCATTTGGGCTTCCTTAATTTTTCTCCCATCTCACCATTATGAGCTCTTCTTATCTGTATTGTGAAGTTGTGAAGGAGCAGAGCTGTAGGCTGTGGAGCTCAGAGTGGTTCAGGCTGTCCTTTGACACCATCTTTAAGGAGGATTCACTGCTGCATGTGACAAAGAGTTTGAGTGGTGTTGTGTGATTGGTCCCTCACGTTTTGCCCTGAAATGATTATTGATCATCCACATGCTCCACCAGTGTGCTTCTGCTGTGTATGTGTCTGTGTGTTTTCCACATTTCTATTTAAAGAATGCTTTTACCAGAAAGGGCATAATGTGTTGTGTGTCTCAGGAGGAACAGGTGGGTGGGGGTGTGTCACGCACAAATGTTCTGTGTTATTTTCTCCGCAGCCTTTCTTTGACTTGTTTTTTTTTTTTTTTTGTTTTTTTTTTTATAATGTCTTGTCATTTGGTGAGTCACGCAGCAAACGTGGAACATTGTTTGCGATTGACAGAGTGCAAACAAAAGTGATGTGCACAGATTACAGCTGTTAGCGGAGGCTCAAATTCTTATTTCTCTCTCCGTCTCCAGGAGAGAAAGATGTCATTTATTGAAGAAGACATTTGCAGGCTCAAATTTAGCTGAGCTTTGTCTTGTTTTTACTGCACAGCCTGTTTTATTGGAATTGATGAGTTGTTTTTGTACAACAAAAACATATTTAGTGTTTTATAAGCAGGCACACAAATGCTCCAAGTTTTCAGAGGGAAATGAGGATTGACTTTAAGTGAAGAAGTGAAACCAGATATATAGAGGTAAATAGGGGTTGTGATGCTGTTTTTACACCGTCTGCCCCTGGAGAACATGGTGTTAATTCCACAATGAAAAACAGTTATAATTATCAAGAAGGTTTCTTGATAATTATAAGTCATTTATTTGTCATTTATTTATTTATCCTTCCTTTTCCAAGAGAAAACTGTTTGTATTAGTGGAAATTTGTTGTATTTAATTGTATCCCCTATAGAGTGCTTAACATGCAGGGACTTGAGGTCCTCCTGCAGCAGGAGACTATATTTTCCTGTCTATTAATGTGCGACTACTAACTCACCTCTATTAGAAATCTAGCTGCACAATTAAATTTGTCTTGCATTGCCTCAAGTGGGGCAGATTTGCTCTTAACTTCAAAAGTCAGAAAATGGCTAAAAGAAAACAGCTGTGAGGGATGTGGGATATATATTTAAATATTTCATAGTGTGGTATTTATGGTAATGAAGAGAAAAGGAGCGACTAAAACTGCATGAATGCAAAACATCACAAAAACAGATTCTGCTCAGAAAATAAAACTTGCTCATGGTGCAAAAAAGTTCTCCACTACGACAGACACCTTCAGCGGTGCAGCTGTACTGCTGCTGCGCATTTACTGATGCGCTCACGGAACCAACAGGGGACACAATAGTTGCAACATCAATAATAAACATCTCTGTCAATATGCTAATCATCTGCAGCAAATCATCTCCAAACCATGACACCTCCACCTCCATGTTTTAAGGTTGTTTTCCAGAAATGTTGTTTGGTTTATGCCAAAAATGTCCTGCATTCTGTCCAAAAACATAATTCCTATTCGCTATTTATATTTGAGAGTAAATGCTTCTGTCTTGTACATCTCACATAAAAGTGCTTTAACATCAACAACAGTTACTCTACTCTAAGTCCGACATGTGACATTTAAACAGTTTTTTTATTATTATTATTTTAGTGTAAACCATCACCCAAAAAAAAAGCTCCAAAGGGTTTTTATATTTTACCTCAACACGTTTTCTAATGAAACCAATCTAATCAAACCAAGGATCACTTTTCAATGTGTTTTTGCAGTTAGTGAAGGAGAAACAAAGCATTTGGACTTTTTGCAAAAGGATTTTGAACCTATGGTTTGGATAGCAAATACACTAAGTGCAGATTTCAAAGTGTTCATGCTGTGACATATGCTTGTGAATCTTGGTGTTTACACCGAGCAGTTCTGAACAGGAAACACACCTTCAATTGGATGCACTTGAGCTTAATGAAGCTAAAGATAAACAATAAACAAGCTGTTTTTCAGTGCCGGTGACGGCAGAGAACAATGTGCCTCCCAAATTGACCGTAAGTGCTCACATCAAGAACAGTTTAAGGGCTTAATAAGGGTGACCTACTTTCTGAAAAATGTGCTGTTAGATAACACTGTCGCTGCTGTTGTAAAGCCCTGGTCTGAGTCAAAGTTTAATGAAACAGAAGTGAGGGATCTGAAAGCTTTATTCCTCCCTTAGGGTCTGCGTAAGGCTTTCTTCATACCAGTAGTTTGTATTTTTTGCAAAGTGGTCTTCAGTTCTCATTTCACCCAGGCCTCATTTCAGACCATGTCTTTAATGGTCTTCAACTAAAACTTCCGTTTGTTTTATGACCAGTGTGATTATATATAATTTAAATGTCTGATCCACTAACTATTGGTGATATTTTAGAATGCTTTGAAAAAATCTTCATGTTCCTTTAAACTTTTTTCTTGTTTTTGCGGTGTAGTCCCGCTAGCTGCTTGTCCAAACTGAGTTGTTGAATCTCTGCAGCTCCTCCAGTGTAACCACAGCATCTTGGCATTTTATTTGATGAGTGTTTTTCTTGCCTCAGCCTAGATATAAAACTTTCATTGATTTGAAATTGTGCCATGCACCTTCTATTATCAGGTGATAGATTGAACAGTGCTTCATGACATCGACAATGTTTGAGATATTGTTTTGTTTTAAACTTCTCCACCACTTTCTTAGCCAGTCTGCTGTGTTCTTTGGTCTCCGTGATTTTATTCGTTCAATAATGTTCCCTAACAAAGCTTTGAGACCTTCACAAAATGTTAAATGTAACATTAGTGATTGATAAATATTTTGAAAATCATTGCACAGCATGTGGTCTATTACATCGTTAATCATGTTGTGATACCAGAGTCCTCATCTCCTCCTCCTGATCGACCCCAATTCACCCCATAGCGAACAAACTTCTGAACGTGACATGATTCAGAGTCATGCCAGAAGTCTGAGGTGTGCAGGTGGAAGAGGAAATGGGACGGCACGGTTTCCTGTGGTCAGCGTCACATGTGATGTCCTTCAGCTTAACATACTGTGATCTGTTTGTTAGGTAATTGGAGATCCAAGCAACCAGGCAGCGGTCCACTCGCATCCTGGTCAGTTTGTCTTGGAGCAGACAGGGCTCGACTGTGTTAAAGGCACAGTCCAGAAGCAGAATACTGACCACGCCATTTCCCTTGGCCATGTGTGAATGAGCTCGATTTAGGAGGTACAGGATGGAACATTGACGATCAGCGAAATAATCGTCAACTAATTTAGTAATCGAAACTGGAGTATTCAGACTCAAAACGGCCATTTTCTGATAGAAAAACACAGTCAAGGCAGTAATTAAGTTAATTATGTTAAAAGAAAACACATACAGTTTGCAATTAAGATTAAATAACCTTCATAAGTTGAGTCCATTTACCATTTGTCTGTAAATGGTATAGTTTTCGCTTCACCCAGTTCAAATAATGTAAAAAATAAAGAAGAAGATCCTGTTAATCACCTCTTGCTATCCAATCCCAATCATCCATCCCGATTTTGACCTTGACATCACTTTGTGTCGAGTCATTGGTCCGACATAAAGCCCTCCATATCCCAGTGTTGTAACAACCGAAGGCCCCCTTCCTGTTAAACTTCCAGCAGTTAAGCCCCGTTAGTGCAAACAAACAGCACTGACCACGCAGAGATTACGCTCCCATGTTTCCACAGTGAATCAAGGCATTGTCGTTAGCAGCCTCCCCGTTTGGAGAGCACATAAAAACAGGCCGCTGTCACATCGCTGAGTCGTCATTTTCCCCTCAGAAACCAGTCTAAACTTGATTTACGTACAGTTACATGGGAATGTTTTGTTTTGTGTTTTAAAGTTGCTTTTTCCATCTGTCTTTGTTAATTTTAATTGCTAACAAATTAAATATTTGATGTTTCTATTTGAACAGATGCAGAAAACAAATATAAATCAGACACTTGTCCAACCCTGCTTGAGACGAACAGAAATGCTAGATATATTTGTTCAAGTTTGGCTGAGTAAAAGTTTAGTGGCATTTCACTATTACTGATACAAAAATATATATAGTTTTTTTTTTTTTTTTTTCAAGAAAAATGCAGAACAAAAACAACTGCCATGAACAGGCCTTTATGCAAGACTCTGTTTTGGGAATGCTAGCAATGCACATCAGCCTGACCACACCATTCTCATAGGGGAACATGGTGGTGGCAGCATCATTCTGTGTGGAGGTTTTCATTCTGCAGGAAGAAAGAATTGTTTGAAAGATACCTGATGTTGCAAAGGTTGCAACCAGTGGCTTTATCTCACATAAGAATTTGGAGGAAAACAGCAGCAACTGGTTTAAAAAAAAAAAAAAAAAAAAAAGAATTTGTTTTAAAAAGTCATCTGTTGGCCAGCAGGAGCTGACAGACTTTTTTTTGTAGTTGGCATCACTGATTAGTTGGGTTAGTTGCAGCTGCTGTAAGACGCCCAGCTTTTAAACCAGCACATCCATATTTTTAGCCTCAAACTCCAAGCCATCATTTCTCATTTCTGACAGTGTCTCCAGGTTCTTGTTGTGCCCACTGTGCACCAGTCATGACTATTTCCTCTGCTTTCATCACCATAGCTACCAGCAAAATATAGGAAGCAGAAACAATGAACAGATGATGGTCTGAATATCCTGGTTACAGTTGTTAGGATGTTGTTCTTTAAGCAGCAAAATACATTTCTAGGCCTGTCTTCTGCTCTGGGCTCACGGCTTTACTGTGATTTCAATCCTGGAACAAAATATCTGGTGTGTTTCTGATATGCTTTTTTTTTTTTTTGAGTCATTTAAAAAGTTGCAAAAATGTTACTTTTTCCTCTCTAAAAAGCAATCTTCATCTTTTATTGAGCGTGGATAATTCTGCAACTGATGCAAGTGAGGCAAACTGTCATGGTTGTCGCGTCAAGCTGATAGAAAATAATTTCTGGAGATGTTTAGACTTTTGTTTTGTTTGTTTTATCGTTTGGTCTTTTAGTCATCAGCATTATGTTGTTCTCCCTTAGGTCTGACACGAATAGTGCAACTCGACCTCGACTTAAAATACAAGACCAACATCAGGGACCTTTTCCAGGAATTTGACAAATTTCCTCCAGGTGCAGTCATAGGAATCGCCAGAGAGATGCAGCCGGTCTACAGGTAAACACACTCAACTCCAGTAAAAGTGGTCAGTCGAAAAATTAAATCATGGTCAGAAAAACTTATTCCCACGTAGAATATATATATTTGGACATTATTTTTTAGCCATTATCTTCTGGGTGACACTTTTAGTTTAAGAAACAGTGCTTCTAATGTTCACGCAATGAATATATACCAGTAAATCTAACCTTGTTTTTGTGTGTGCGCGCAGTCATAAACAAAGGGCACCAACTTTCAATCTCTTTGTTCCTAAGCTGATTTTTTTTTTTTCCATCCTTCTATAAGATAGCAAATCAAACCCTCCTGGTCATTTCACTGCCTCACTGTTTCCACCCGGTTGCAACATCAAAACAGGACGTCACTGTGTGCGTGTTGGGAGGGTTAAAAGTACATGATGCAGGATCAGGTGGCATATTTTGTGCAGCAGGTGCTTACAGGGACAAACACAGGCAGGTGGTTTTCTCTGGGGTCTTTTGGAACATGGGTGAATGAGCCTGTGAATGTCTGGTTCGAGTAAGAAGGCAGGACTGGCCTGCTGTCAGCTGTTTATTGTCTCCGTTTAGCAGTTTTTGATTTTATTTGACGTCCTTCAAACAATATTGCATCCATATTTAGCTTACCGTCACAGCCGCCACATTTAGTAGGCAGTTTCACTCATGTCTTGTAAAGTACTTGCAGCTTTCATCATGAAATGTTTTTTTTTTTTTTTTTTTTTTTTAGAATTGACCTGCATGAGTAATTACAGTGCATGTTTTGTTTTTTTGTTTTTTGTTTTTTGGTTCCTGGCTGCTGCAGAAGCTGAACTGTAGTTTTCCTGCCAGGCTCCAGCTGGCTCCTGCCTCTCCAAACAGATCTCTATCTCTGCTCTGCCACTGTGTTGGTTGGGGGCTTTGCCAACCCTGAGAAAGCCCCTCTAATGTGGTTCCTGTGAGGCCGGACACACTTAATTTGAGTCGGCCAGCATCATAGCGAAGTGCTGGGCCTCTTGGCTCACACCGCTCCGCTGGTTCAAAGCTCCCACACAAGGTCTCGGAAATGATCGAATCTACAACTACAACTCAATAAATGATTGAAAAGTCACTTTATTTCTCTAGGTTTATTCACATTGATTTTTTTTTTCAAGAATTCTGCTGTTCCTACTGATTGTCATTGCTTACAATTAAATTTTTCAAAAGATTTCAAGATGTAACCTCCCCTCAATTAAGAATTTTTAAAACAGAAATGTATAAATATAGTTTATGCACCGAGTAATTGGGTGGGACTCCATACACAAATTACTACATCACTAAAGTGAACAGCTTGTGGCTCTGCTGAGGTCCTATGGAAGCCCATGGTTATCTTAACAGTGGCCTTCAGCTCATCTTCCTCTTCTCAGTACTCCATCGATTTTACTAGAAGGTTTAGGTTAGAGACCAATGGAGCTCAGTGTTTTGAAATTTACTGATCTCTGGAAAATGATAGTTTCTCGTCTCCTAAAATGCCTGATTCATGTGGACGCACAGCCTAAACGGCAAAAAATATTTCCAACTGCGCCTAAGATAATTTCTGTGTTGACTCGGTCTTAGATTAATTTAATATATTTACAAAAAAGTAATAATAATAATTCTGCGATTTAAATGTTAATTAGTAAATATTTAATGATAAATTCATGGTAATTTTTTGTCACAAATTTGAACTTTTGATATTTTTATGATAATTTAGGGTTTTTTTCTTACTTTACCAAGTCATTGAATACCATAGTTCTAATGTCAGAAATGTATGCTTTAAGCACGGAAGAAAACAATTTTTTTCATTTACACTTACAACTTTTTGACATGAGAATATCTTCTTAGTATTCTCATTCTCATATTTTTCCCCTTGAAAATATGTGAACTTCATCTCGCCTCTGATTTCTTTGACAGAAACGAACTCCTCCACTGCCAATTTTGTTTCAATTATCTGTTTGTCATTTCTGACTTTTTAATGACCCTATGTAATATTCATTTTCTGAAAAACTGAATGTTTGTTTTCAATAGCTCTAAGCCATAATCACATCAGTTAATGTTTGAAAATTATCTCAATGTGTAATAAATATTTTATGATTTAAAATTTAATTGAAGAGCTGAGATACATGATCTTTTTAGTGATATCTTAAACTGGGAAGATGTACATGTAAATGTAGAGCAAATTGAGATATTTTTATTATTATTGGCACGTTCCCTGACAATAAATTCATTCTTTCTTTATATTTTAGATAAAATTTAAAAATCTGTCTTTTATGTCCTAAAAGCTCTGAAAAATATTAATTGCTGCCCAGGAAACGGTGACACCTTGCACAGCCATGACAAATGAAAGTAACTATTCCAATACTTTAAATGGATTTGCTGCATGTTTGCATTATTAGTCAGGAGGCTTTAAAATGTTGTAATTTTAAAAGCCGGCTTTTAGTGAAGCACAGCTTGCTTCCTTCCTATTGTAGTGTCCTCTTTTGTAGACAGAGGGGACTCTCAACTCCCACTCTGTTTTTGTGTGAACAGAGGGAACATCATGCAGAACAACGCATCCTCCCACCAGCCACATTCACACCACATCCTGCCACTGAAAAGTTCTTTTTTTTTTTTTTTTTTTTTTAAAAATACCTCTCACTTCCCTGCAGCTGAGTCTTTTTTTTTTTTTAAACACAGAGGATGAGACCCATTTCCTTGAATGTCCCATGAACAAGAACACAAACACACTCTTATTTCTGCAAGAAGATCCCATTAAAATGCAGAATTCTTTGAGTGTTCTGGGCTTTCACTGAGCAGGAGGGGAAAATGCTCTTTCTATGCTTTTTGTGATGAGTCCCCCACTGTGTCAAGTTCTCAATATTAAATATGTTTTTGTGAAATCAAGAAAGTGTAACTGGTTAATTATGTCATGTCCATTTCACCCACTACCTCTAGTGTGTATTAGATTTTACAACATCCTCCCCAAATAAATACACCCCTGGTTCAAAGTGTGTAACAAGCCTTGAAATAAATGACTCTTAAAACTGCGTAACAAGCTAAAGTTGCACACATTTATTCAGTACAAAAAATATATATATATAATCCAACTGTAAGAAAAAATTGTCTAAATGTGTCACAGAGATTTAATTTTTTTCTGAGCTGTTATAAATAATGGGGAGGATGAGAGAAGAGGCCATGCAAGGCAGATGTGGGTTGATTGCCATGTCAAAATATGACAAAAATAAATATAGCTACTTGCCCAAATTTACTGTACATTCAGGGCAGTAATAATAAGAAAAACTAATAAACTTGAAAACCGACTTTAGCTGTGACATTCAAGAATACAAACAATTTAACCATCAAACAAAATGATGAGAATAACGGAGGTCAGATCTTCAAAAAAATGTAGTTTATGGCATGAAAAATACTGCACACCAGTAGCTCAGATGGGTCTATATGTAAAACAAAAGCACATTGCCAAGTAGCTGTGATGCTGTTCCTCTAACAAACACAATCTAGATATTCATGGGGCCTAAAGATTAAGGTGATGTCAAGGAGATCTTCCAGCTTTGGGAAGATTTTCATTACACCCAAATTGCTTATTTATTTATTTATTTTTGTATTTCATTTGATTTGATCTAATATCCCAATCTATATTGCTGATTTATTTTGTCCTTAAGAGAAAAATCTTCATAACTAACAGAAATAAAAGCTCGAAGGCATCAGTCTTGACTATAATTAATGTGTTTTTTGTAGTGAATTGAGTTACTCAAATAAATAAACTTTTCAATAATATTGTAGCTTACTGAGTACATGTTGACATCCTTTTTACACATCATTACAAGGCATGCAAAAACTTCTACAATTTCATATTTTCATGCTTTAATGTTTCATTCCCCCCATCCCCCCCAACATATATGGGATTTTTTTTTTTTATTATTGTGCAGCCACTGCACCTTGTCCAAGCAATCCATTAGTGTTACCAGCTGAACATACAGCCTGATGTCTGCCTGTGGGTTTTATAGAGCCGTCGGAGAGAGCAGGCTGCTTGTTGTTCCGAGCGAATCAAGGACACATTAGGAGGAGATAGCAGCACAGAGTGTCCTTGTCCCCCGCTAATGCTTTCCATTCTTTCACAAGTCTGAGAAACTTCACTGGGAAGATTGGCAGCAAAAACTGACTAGAGGACAAAAGTGTGAATTGACTGCAATCTAAGCTGGAGCTGTGTGAAGTCTTACTGGCGTACTGGGTGTACTGGTAGAAACTACAGAAAATCAAAAAAGTCCTTACGTTGGAGAGCAGAGATGCTCTCTGTATCACTCAGTTAAACGTGTAATGTTCTACAAGACTACAGTGACTGTTGTTTTTGCTTCACATCCTAATAAAACAACTCCCAGAGGAAAACATTGGCTAAAGTTACTCATGTACAGCCTTTGCAGTCTGACATTTCCCCTTTTTCTGCAACCATTTAACCCTCCCACCCCGGAAATTCAGCAAATTAAGTAAGATTTACCAAAACAAGAATATGTTGCAGCTTTTTAGACGTACAAATTTAGCACATAAACTATCTCAGACTGATGATAGCACTATTAGCTAATCCAAAACAAAAAATAAATAAAATCCATCTCTTTCTAATTAAACCGCTACTGTAGGAAACACATTTTGGAAAACAAGGAGAAGCAAAAGTAAAAACAAGTTAGAGTGTAGAAAAAGTGTTTAAAAACAAGCTTCAGCGTGATATTAATGGAAAGTTGAGTGGAAGGACATTGTGTAGCAGAAAAATGTACACAATCAACAAGAGAAATGTGTCAAATATATTGTGTTAGTTTTATTTATTTTATAAATATGTATGTAGATTCACTTGTTGCACACAGAAAGAAAAGATGAACAAGACACTAATTTTCTGTGTCATGTATTTTGTAAAACTTTGCCACTTTAACACATAAATAAAGGCGAACATTTTTCTCATTCTCAATGCCTAACCGTTGCAGTCTAGTCATCTGTGGCTGCGGAGCCCCTATGTGTGTTTCACATGAACTCTCGAAAACATTTGTGCAGCTTGCTACATAAAAGCTGTGTTCCTTTAGCTGTGCTCATCTAATAACCATCGTGGTGTCTGTTGTTTATTTTAGCCGTCTTGACACTGATGCCGTTCCCCTTCGGTCCACACAGTAAACTCCAGCGATTAAAACAGCCTCATGGGACGGTGTGTGTAAATGTTCCTTGCTGACCTCACTCACCCAGTATGCGTTTTGGGGCACGTAGACTCATCTTCATAATGATACATACACCACAAAGCCTCGGATACCAACAAACGACACATAACTAACGGAGCAAACAACAGGAGCTGAATGTAGGTCAGTAATAATATCAAAGCATGACTTGGAGAATCTGCATGATCGCGTTTCACAGACAGGATGCATTGTACGATCCAAAACCTCCCAAAAATCCTTGCGTCTGTATATAGTTCTGAAACAGGCAGCATGAAGGTTAAGTGTGTTTCTAGCTGCTGTTATAAAAGTAAAATGTTCTTGAGCTCCATTCATATTTTATTTACTGTAGAGCTCAGCAGGAACTAAGAATAGTCCAAATGTTCTGGCATTAGGTGTTCATGTTCACAAGCAATCGTGCAAGGTTACTTTCCCATTCATCGCTCAGTATTGATGGAACATTTCAACGAAAAACGTTAACAGTGCAGACAAGAGCTCTCTGTTCTCTGAATCTGAACCATCCACAGAGAAAAAAAAAAGTTGAATTACAGATATGCAGTTGATTTTTTTTTTCCCTCAGACCCCCTGAAAGCATAAACCAGCACAACACAGAGAAAATATTCAGAAAATAACAGGTCAAAAAAAAATATGAAGATCTCTGTTATTTCTATTGATAGGATAAATAGTATATGCTACGCACTTTTGATTTGATTAATTTTAGAAAAACTTTTGTTTTACAGAAACTCTTAAAATATTCTCAACATGTTTTCTTTGCAGTCTGGAAATATTTTTGCAATGTCAACAGTAAAAAGTCAAACCATAATAACTTTATTATGTTTACTTTATTTGAGGCAGCATTTTTACATTCCATCAGAAATAGGTTGTTTTTTTAGCTCCTCTTCTCTTTTTTTGGGAAAGACCAGAACTTCAGAAACACTTTGAACACAAATATGAGTTTAGGCAGGCTGCTCTATCTGCTGATGCACAGCTTTCTGCACCCTGTGTGCTGCTTATACCCTGCTATGTTAAATTTGTGTGTGAGTTACAGAGAACAAGATTTAGACGATCTTTAAAGGTTTAATTTTGCTCATCAGTGTTAAAGCTTAGAAAATAAGAGATTTTTAGCATTTCTGTGACTGTGGTCTTTGACGATGGTTTGTACAGCTACAGGACTCATTTTTTTAAAGCACACTAAATGTTTTTTTCCTTCCATTTTTCTTTCTTTTACTATGTTGGATTAAATGATGCTGCAAAGCAAATAGGATTCCAGTGCTTAACCAACACTGATAATAGAACCACTTCCTAAGTGGTTCTGTAAAAGAACTGGATTCCTTTTCCATAATCTGTAAGGCAAGTCGTCATTACGTCCTGATCAGTGACTTCTCCAGTTAATCATATAAGGATCGTTGTGCATGAAGACAGTTCAACTACAGGTGATGCTAGCGAATATTTCATAATCCTAACCAGATTATTATTTGTTGGTTGGTTGGTTGTTCTCCATGAGTTCACCTCTCGCTGCTGATGAAAGTGGCTTTACCTCTGACCTTTTCTTTAAGTTGGAGTTTGGGAAGATCCAGTTTTTTGGGGAACATAGCTTGAGCTTGCTGTGATGGTAACAAAAAAAACTGGTGCTGAACCAGTTTGGTGGAAAAGAGACAGTGGATTGTTAAATTTAAATCAAGTTATCGTTAGAACAAATTGTCACAAAGCAGATATGTATTTAGCTGACTTTGTGCAAAAGTTTTAAGTCACCGATACGATGAAGGTGGTTCTGGTTTAAAAGAGATTAATTACCATGATATGTGGGGTCATTCATACGCACATAGATGCATGTATGAGTGAGTCCGCGTGTGTGTTTATGTTTAAGTGGAGGCACTGAAGTTTTGCTGGTGCAAGAAGCGGTCTGTTTGTAAAACAGGTTGGGCACAGGAGAATGCCAAGGAAGAGAACCAGATCTACCAAACGATCCCATAAATTAGGCTACCTCGTTGAGCACAGAACAACGTTGAGTTTTGCCAACTAATCAACAGCCTAACACTTCTTTCCGTAGACACACCTTCTGGCTGTATCGTAAGGAGAACCCCAATACCAGGGTAGGAGAACCTCCTCCTGAGGGCCTTCCGGGCTTCAACAGTGGTGTGATGCTGTTGGACCTGAGCGCCATGAGGGCTTCGACTCTCTACAACCAGCTGCTGAAACCCAGCAATGTGGCCAAGCTAGCAGACCAGTATCGCTTTAAGGGCCACCTGGGGGACCAGGACTTCTTCTCAATGATTGGCATGGAGCATCCTGAACTCTTTTACTCTCTGGCCTGCGGCTGGAACCGACAGCTGTGCACCTGGTGGAGGGACCACGGCTACGGAGATGTGTTCCAGTTGTATTACGGTTGTGATGGGCCCGTTTATATCTATCATGGGAACTGTAATTCCCCTATTCCAGATGATTGAACTGAAAAAGACATTCATTGTGTAGTAGAGGGAAATATTTTTCCTGCTAATGTGGGATGTAGGACTTGTTTTCCAGAGACAATGGCTTTCCTTACCAGTCATGGAGCCTGCCTCTGCTGGCCAAGAGGATATGAAAGGCTGCCAACCAAATGACTGATTTTATGGCTTTATTTTATGTTCAGCCTGAAGTCTAAAGCTTCTGTCTTTGACAACAGCAGTGCAGAGGAAGCATGCTTTTGCATTGATGGGATTGGCTCATGCAGCGCCTAATGCCATGATAATACATTACATTCCCAACATCCTGAATTTTACCCCAAATGGCTACTGGGCATGCAGGACAGCACTGATGACGCCAAAGCATCAAAATGTTTCAACAGTTTGAAAGAAAGCAAGCATCAATAAGCTGATGTTCTTCATGCGGCTGTTTCCGTCTCCATTCTCAATGGATGTATTTATTTCCACTGAGGCTTTGCAGAAAGAAGGTCGTCCAGCTTTCTGCCACAGTGCAAAAACACGCATAACACATTAATTAGCCTTTAGCTTCATCATTGTTCATGTATATCTATCTGTCCTCTGTTTCTCATTATTATCCTCTGGTGGACTGGCAACCTGTTGATGGTGCACACTGACCCTGAAGGCACACACCAGTTCACCCTGTGAGGATAAATATAGCCTGAAATATAGATGGATGAATAATTTAACAGGAATTCGGCTGACTAGATGATACATTAAAACCACCCCAGCCTTCATGAGGACACTGGTGTCCTCATGGACTTACATGTTTAAAGACTTAAAATTGTTCTCTGTGTATTTAATCCAGGATATCTCATCCCCATATTGACAAACCTAAGATTTACCCATTTAGTTTAGTTATTTATATATATATTTTTTCATTGTATTGTTTCATTATTTGTTTAACCTCCAGAAGTTAAGACCTGACTTCGATTTTAGCAGGTTCAGTGTTAATATGGCCAAAATGTTATAAAAACTGCAATACGACAAAGTTAAGTTTGAAGAAGAGGCACTTTGCAAAGAAAAAAGTGTTTGAAGTCTGATCAATGTGGAGCCGAACCAGAAGAAATTAGAGCTTTCAGCAGATTCTGGGCTGCTGGAGGACAACATGCAGTCGAAATGCTGTAGAGCTTATGTTTTATTTAACTAATTTAAGAAATAAAACCCAAAAGCACAGAGCCTCGGTACTTATTGAAAAGTCACGTGTAGATTTGTTCAGATTTTTTTGTTTTGCAATGTCACAGACTATAGGTGAGTCACTGTGCTGCACGGAGCTGCTTTCCGTGATATTTTCCCAATTTTGTTTTTGAACACTGGTGGTCTTTAAATAACGGCAAAAGTTCTGTCCTCATTCAAATGAACAGATTCACGGATGCAACCTGACAAATGATACATTACTGATCTGTCTTTTTGTCAATTGTGTAATTTAAATGAATGTTGTGTGTTGAAAGCCATAAGAATTATCAATAACTTAACATATATTGATTTTGGAGCGTTTACATTAATAAATTTTCTATTCAGATTATGAAGACTCATTTTTTATTTTTGCTTCATTCGGGCCAAACTTTAATTCAGTTTCTCCAAGTTTCTCCTGTATTTTCTTTTCCAACAACCTGAGAGCTCATTTTGTTGTTTTTATGTGCCACTTCAGTTCTGTGTTTGAGGCTAACGGACTTCAGAGCCCTGTGGAAGGAAAACATCCTTAATTTCAGGTGGACCTTCTTGTAGGAATTAACATGCAGGTGAGCTGGGCTCCAAACTAAAAGAAGGTTGACCAATTAGTGTTAACAGCATCGTTGCTCTCCTGATTTGATCTTCAGCTGCCGCTGAACACAGTCCTCTATCAGCCAGCACACATGAAAGACGGCATCAGAGCCAGAAGCGTGACTGCAGACACTGACCCATTTTCAGTTTTCTGGCTGTGCTGGTGTTCAGATTCTAAGAAACATCAATGCTCCGTAGCTGTCACTGCCTGACTTGACTCACACTTTTAACAAAGAAACGCACAGGGAAAATTTCTTTCAGCACAGTAGGAATGGATTAAAAGCTCATTGCTATTCACTTTATTTTATAGCATCCAAACTACACTTGCATTGAAACATGTATTTCATATTCTCCTTTATGCATCCACCCTTGTTTTGTAAATAGTTTTGTTCTCATGCAAAGTGTAAAAAAAATTAAATAAATCGCATTGCAATGCTTAGAACTGAAGTTTTTACACATAAAAGCACTATATAAAATTTTGTAAATATGGGAGAAATATTTTGAAATAATTACTCATGCAGGCCTCAGTTGAATTTCATAAGAATCTTTTTAAGATTCTATCAAATTCAATAATATTTAACCATATACTGTTTTTATAAAACAAAAATACCAAAAGCTGGTCTTTTAGTTTTATCTTCTACTATTTTTTTTTGTTTTTAATGTAAAAGAGACGTCAAGAGCTTTGTGAAAACACCTTTGCTCAATTTCTCTCCAATACAGGTCAGGTAAAAAATTTCCCATAGGATAAACTATCTGTTTCCCTACGATAATGAACATTATTCAATATTTTAAATTTGGATTAAATTAATCACTTTTCTCAAAATAAATTTTGCAAATTTATATAAAGTAGAAAAACAATCAGTCACATGCACGTGTCTGTAGTCTTAGTGCCTGGACTTGCTTCTAAAAATCCTATTTAATCAACTGCTGTGTCGGGATTTCTAAATCATTTTCCTTCCCCCGTCAGCAATAAAAACTGAAGAGATATTTGGGTTCGTGTAATTAGCAGAAACCTCATAGCTGCTTCAGATCTGATGCCTCCACAATCAAATCTGCCTCTAAATAAATGAATCAGTGACTCAGTCTGGAGCATTTCTCAGCAGCAGATTCAGGAAGATAAAAACAAATATGCACTAAAAGCTGTCACTGTGGTTCCTGCCTGTCATGGCTGACTAATGAAACGTGCACTTTACTCGAAGCCAGTTGACCCCATAATGATAATCCTGCTGAAATAGTCACAGCTTGTCTCAAAGGGTGTTTTGGTGTTAGTCTTTGGTAACATACAGGGTTTAACATTTAGGTAAATATAATACATTTCAGTCTCATTTGAGTCTCTTTCCATGTTTACAGACTCCCATGTCTCATTTTTTTCCTTCAACAATGTTTTTTTTTTTTTTTTTTTTGTCTTGCTGCTCTTCTATAAAGGCTGGGTTTTTCTCTATATACAGATGTCACAGGAGTGGAAAGAAGACTGATATTTGCAAGAAAATGTTCTGTCTGCCGATCCTGTCTTTCAATCATTTATTCTCCTGGTCCATCTGTGGTCCGGTTCCCTGCTGTGCGCCAGCTCTCACCTTCTTTGACCAATATCTCTGACCCACTATTATTGACAGACATTAAGGTTTTTTCATTCAGAGAACTGCCACAAAAGCTGCTGAACAACTTATTTTCTGGCGATTTGACAATGCCCCAAGAACTGTCAGTGTCACGCCAAACGTCAGCACTAAATCAAAAACACGAAAAGATGTTGCTCTCCGTTTGAAAAGTCTTCACGTGACAGTGGCTCACGTTGCTTCATCCAGAAAACAAAGAACGTCACATCACGTTTAGTCCTTTATAGCTTAGCCTGAGTGGAGTTTGTGCCTGTGCAAATTTCTTCGACAGCTGCAAATGTTGATTACTTTCCACAAACTAAACACGGTCGTAATTCTGCATTCCCATGTGTTTGAACAGTTTGTATTCAGAGGTGCAGTATTGCTTAATAGAATAAATCTTTACTATAAGTGTAAACAGCACAGAGGCAGTCTTGTTAGGTAGGTTGGATTTAGCAGCTGTGAAAAAACGGGAGCTATTTAGATTAGAGTTTGACTGATATTGTTTACGCTATAACCACTGCTGATGCCAGTGTTCATAAATCAATGCAGGCAGTGATCAGTAATCTTAAGTGAAATTGCTTCGAGTACAAGGTCATACTTCTGGCACTATTCATCCTGCCCGTATTGAGTTACGTAATGTTGAGGAATAGACGGAGAAACAAGGAATTATACGAGCAGGCCAACAGGACCAGATCTCAGACCTGAAAGCTTTTTGTCCAACAAGATTGTGCTTCAAACATGAAAACCACTCTGTGGTCTAATCTGGTAAAAATGCACTTTATTAATCGTGCTGGGCCATTACATTTTACATGTTTGGTCAGATTTGACATTGCTGAAAAATACTATCTTAAAATGAGTTAAAACAACAGTGTGTTTCTCGGTATCTGCTCCCTCCATCCCTCCTCCACCTCAACAACACAACTCTGGAAATTAATTGAAACAAATATATTTTTTCCTTCTGAAATAAAACATCTCTGTCCAGACAGGAATGCAACCGACTAATAATAAGTTTTTTTTTTTTTTTTTTTTAAAAAAACGTTGATGAAACTTCATCTTTAACAAGGTCATAATCTTATCTGAAGCTTGTACAGTCACAGCCAGAAGTTTTGGTTGTGATACAAATGTTGTGTTATGTGGTTTTCACATACATTTTTTAAACATAAATCAGGCTGTGGCCATGACTTATCACCTTTTGTTAAATAGTGTGATGGTAAGTTGGCCTGGAGGTAAAAATCTAAATATTTTGTGTCCAGAATAGGTGTAGTCTGCAGAGACCTAGATGTCTGCAGACCCCTGTACAGGTTCCACATGAAGGGAAGGTCTGCTCTGATCATCCTCGCTGCAGACGTGATTTTTCATTGCACTCTGGCCCTGTCGTGCTTTGTGGCAGAACCAAACCAAACACTGATGGATCTGCAGAGGTGTGATGTTTAAAGGCAGTGCAGAATAAAACCAGCAGTTCCTGCGTTTGGTTGTACTTCTATATAGTTGCTGCAGGAAGCACGATATCTGCTGGGTCTTCTTCTGGACAGTATCTTCATATGAGGACCATCTCAGGCTTGTGTTTCCAAGAAAACCGAAGTGATCCACAGTAGTCCCAGGAGAATGGTGAGGCGAGGCTTCAGTTGGGTGCTCTGACAGCACATTAAAAGGAAACCATTGCAATCACTGTTGAAAATATTTATTTTTTCAAAATGTTATACTGAAATCCTGATGCTGCAAGAACCACAGTCTCCATAATAAGCTTATCTAGATACAAGAGTACAGCTGTGTTTGAAGTTTGGTGGTAACATCGGATTAATTTAGGTGATGCATTGTAAACCCCGTCGTCCCGCAATAGGCAGACAGGGATATGTTTGATCTGACTGTCTCAAGAGTCACATATAATAGTCTTATATTCAGAAACTGTGATGGAAGATAACGTCTAGGAAGATAACGTGCTGGCACATTGGCTGGGAGGCTGACCCATATAATGGACAGCACTGTCAGGTAGAAATTAGGTCTCTGTGTTGCCCCACTTTAACGTCTACAAGCAGAAATGTCTCAATAAATGTCCAAGCTTGTCTTTTGTGGCGAAGGGTGGACAACAGGTGGCTCTTACCTGAAACTCTGTTTTTGTCTACCTCATCCAGCTTTTAAATATTTAGATTGAATCAAACATTAAAATAATTTAAATTAAGCAAATAGAAACCCAGACTAATTCTTTCTCTTATTGAAACATTAGCTTCTTTATGCCTAAGACTATTTTTTGACAACAATAAAGTCTAATGCTTATTAAAACACCGAACCCAGACTAAGTTGTTTAATATTGCACAGTTTGATTTTCATAAATGCGACAAGGGACCTAAAGCCTAAGATGATAAAGCCTAACTGGAAGTTGATGTGATCACAAAAGCAAACAGAACATCTAGTTCCCTTTAAAAACCTGCGTTAGATTTTTCTTGTGCAATGAGTCAAACCCTGCAGTGAGGGATCTGAAATGACAAGCCGATTTGTGCTTTTCCTAAAGAGTTAAAAACCGTTGACCCCATGTGTGGTATTTGTTGGTGATATGACGTCTTTTGCTGATTGAGGTCACTCAGATTGCTCCTGGCAGGATCCTAGGAAGGGCATTTGTTGGAGTTCATGGAAGGAAGGAGATTTCAGGTTGTTTCTATGTAATGCTAAAGGACAGCAACGCTTACAAAACAACCATGATGTCCCTGTGCTGATTTAATCCAATTGTTTTCACCCTTTCTCTGCTATGACATATTTAACTGAGCTGTAAGACTTACACAGTCACACGCACAGTCATGCAAATGCATGAAGCAAAAAAAAAAAAATAGTGGTTGCCATAAAGTGGCCCAGATATGTGTGCATTTTTCCAATTTGTGGTTTTCAGACAAGATATAAGGCAGAGGACTGCATATGTAGGTCAGTATGCTACGCTGCATCCAGCAAGCAAGCAGTGTTGAAGCTGCAGGGGAGATTAACTAGACTCTGCAAGTTTTTAAGTAAATTAGACATTTTAACATGGAACAGAATGTTTTCCTGACACAATACTGTCTTAGGGCAAAACCATTTAGAGCTCTTCAGCTTGGTTAATGTGATTAAAATATTCACTCATTTCAGAAACTCACTCTATTCAGTTTTGAAGGAAGCTATAAAATAGCTTAGGAGATGATGT